AGCTGGCTGGCTTGCGGTTTGCATCTCTTTCAAGCTCTGCATTGCCCTTTGCTCTGCATGAAACATAACTTCGGAAAGCCAAGAGAGACCTGGGGGCTGCCCAAATGGTTTGATAAACACTGACTTAAAGGAAGTGCATTTGCCTACTTGACTTCTTTTAAAATGTGGCTAAGGCACCCTTTATTTCTGTTCACTGCAGTATTTCATTTTATTCCTACCTTTTACAAAGCTGCTACTCTCAGTATGGCTTGTGTTACAGGAAGGAAAGTGTAACTGGTTGAACGAACTCTAGAATCACCTTGCTCCCAGAAAGGCACCTCAAATGAGCAAGAGTGATGCGGCTGAAGTCCTGCTGCATGCTGTTTATAAGGAAATTGATGCTGGACTGAGTCCTTATACAAGACTGCTTCTCTTATTTAATGGTACCTTACAGGGTCAAGTAAATGCAAGTTTAATATAACAAATCTAGAGTCTTCTGTTTATCTATATGCTCCTCAGACTGACAAAACTACTAGTATACTAACTAAATGTACTTCACCAGTCACATCTTTAAAACAAAACTACTCAAAAAGCAGGACTATATTACGATGTCACTTGCTTCACACTAATTTTATTAAAGAGCTAGAAAACTGCAGCAGACCCCTTAAAAATCTGTTCTATGACGATCTTATGAGAGATGATGTACATATAACTATATGTCTATGCTTGATTCAGAAGCAGACTTATGGCTTGTGAGACATTCAGCTGGCCAAAAAAATTGTACTGTACGTGTAACCACAATAACTTTGTAAAGGAAAACTCACACAATGTGCCCCATATAGTCAGGACCAATTATGCACTGTTCTTACTTGCACTTGCTTGGAATGGTTTTAACTACACACACTCTCCAGTCCCTAAAAAGCACCTTTCCACATCTGGCCTGCCTCCACACCTTAAGGAGCGTAGCTAAGCCGAGTACCCTGGCTCTAAACAGGCTGATGCTTTCCTCACACTGGGAAAATGTTCACCTGTCCATGTACAGCAGATTTACGAGTCTTCTGTGTCAACCTGACAACTCCAAAGGACTCAGGCAGGGAAAAGACTTAGCCCTATAAATACTATTATTTGAACTTCTCTTTCCACTGGCTACAGATGAATTCAGTGTAAAAGAAAAGCACATAGTTAAAACTGGAAAAAAATACAGAGTTGGGTTTTCAGAAGTGCTCTGCGTTTATCTAGTCCTGCTCTAGTTTGAGCAGATTAAGCCCCATAACTGACCACTTTTGGAAGTCGAAACATGACTGTTCACTGAGGCTCTGGAGTAATTCCTTCTTGGAGGAAGATGGTACGTTCTTTAAAATGTATTACATGCTACATAATAAAAACAGAGGTTGTGCTCTTTTGCAAGTCTCGTGGTATGATACTCAGCTGTTTTGCTCTGCACAGGTTCCCCTAACTGTTCACTTGGTTTCGATCCATCTGGATTTTCACCACAGAATTTTGCTTTGAGTTTCCAATTTGAATACAGGAAAGCTCTGCCAAAACCACATCACATTCAAACCACAGGAAATCATGAATTTGGCACTGTTTTGACATGGAAGCTGTAAACAGTGTGCAGGTTCACTCAAAACAAGATCACTGTCCTTGGAGTTATGAAACACAACAAAACTTCCAGCAAACCAGGTCAGAATTCTGAACTACTAAAGCAAGGAGAAATTACGTGAATTTTGCATGGATCCGGACTTTGTTATAAATATTTTCCCCTAGTTTTTTTCCTTTAGCTGTAAACATACTATGTGGAAGAATAAAAAGAGAAGTTGGGCTTCCTCCTTTCCACGTCTGAGTTAAAACAAGATCTGGTGAATTCTCATAGCTCCAACATACATGTATCCTATTAAAGACAAAGGTAGTTTCCTATTGGCAGTCTTGAGCATGAATAACTGTAAAGGCCAGAGTTACACTAAGGATATGAATATGGTTTAGTTTTATGTGCAAAATGATAGGTAGTCAACTCAGAGCTAACTTACACCACGGTTAAGGGTGCAAGCCTCCTGTTTAAAACCCACTAGATTTTCAGCTGCCAAACACTGGATTTTTTTCCCCAGGATTCCCGTTAGCAAACCGCAAGGAACTTTTATGAAAACGGAAAAGTCTAGTATGATTTTTGCCTTCAAAATAAACACTGCCCTAAAGAAACACATATTTGTAAAGAAGTCACAAGTTCATTGAGGATGAAAGGAAAACAATCTAGATTTCCAGACCAAGCCTGAAAACAATCCAGATTCCAAACCTACCCAAGTCAGAAGTTTGAATGCAGAGCTACGTGAAGGTGGTTTGACTGAAGTCAAACAAATAAGAAGCAAAACGTAGTCATGCAAAAGAAGATTTATACTACTGCACTGCCTGCAAGAAAAAGGCAGTTTAATCTTGCTGAATTTCATTTTTACCAGATTTTTAAACCAGGCATTTTGCATGTCAGAAAAACTCTGTAGGGATCCATAACACACAGAACCATACATCAGACATATCTGACCTGTCATAGAGTTTTCAGATGTACATAGTTGCTCCCGCAGCTTTTCCACATCGTCTGGATGAACCTGTTCGTACAAAGTGCTGCCAAACCATTCAGACTGTGGCTGGTTCAGCACAGGAGTCACAGAATCTGATACGTAGATCACTCTTCCTGTCTCAGCTGCAACTACGAACAGGAACCCATCTGCAGCCTCCAGGATAAGATGTTTCAGCTCCTTCCAAAGAAAGGATTTGATTAGAGTGCCAGCAGAAAAGGGAATTAAATAACACATCTGTCACTGCCAAAGAATATTGTTTTCTTGCCATCTTAGTAGCCTGATCACAACCTAGGCAGAAATTTTCACTGTAGTATTGCTGTAACAACACAACCAAACTTGCAGCAAGCCATAAATTGCTGATCTTAATAACAAACAACACTTTGTTTTGCTTTATTGGCTTTCATCTGGTGATCTCAATGCACTTTACGAAAATTAAGTAACTGAAACTGACTGCATATTGTGCGATAGGCATCTAACATTAAAAAAATAAAAAGTTATTTAAGAGTACAAACAGAGGAAATGAACAGCTATAACTCATATGGCAAACTCATCCCTTAATTAAATGTCCCAAATAATTTAATTGGAGAGAAACCAACAAGTCTTTCTGTTTTTTGTTTGTTGTTTTTTTGGTCCCCCCCAGCCCCCCTCGGGATGAGCTCTGTTTATAAATTAAACAGTCACTGGATAAAAGGCAGAAAGCGTAATGGGAACAAGGACAGGAATTCCCAGCCTCCCCTCTCATTAGGGGGCCTGAGCCCCTACAAAAGAAGGTCGTATCACTTCTTGCTTTCTTTTTCCAGCCTGTGAATATGAAGCCTCAGAGATCCAAAGGGTCTGGAACACCCCTGTCTTTGGCCTTTTCTTTACACAGTCCCCTGCTCATCATCCTGGGTACTTCTGTCCTGAGACGCCCACACATCCACCTGAAACGCAGCGCCCAGAGCCCCAACCCCACCTGGGGACTGGAAGGGAGATCGTAGGCCTTTAAAGCAAGGTACTTCTGTCCCTCACTTCCAGACACTGGGTCTAGACACCCAATACCTTGAATTGCACACGCAAACAGCTGTTTGCATGCATCACACAGAAACGCTACCTTTGCTTAACAGAGCTTGAAAACCTCTCATGGGGAAGGATGACAACTACCACTCCAATTCCTGGGAAACAAGCTCGAACAGCCTTTGCCTGATGGCTCCAGTGATGACCAGAGCTTCTTAAGATACTGCATCTGGAACTCACACAGAGAGCTTTCGACAATCTGAGTCCCATTCCAGGTTAGACAGCTCAGCACGGCTGGTGTGCAAGTGGCAGATATTAGCTGATAAGGTGAGGATCACAATCTGGTAAATTCTACTAAATAAATGGATAACTCATCTCAAGAAACACTTAACAGACCGTCAACTTCTGCCGCTTTATTGTAGAGAAAGCACATCAATTCTGAACCACTTACTAGATAAAAAAACCTCACTGTATAGCTGGCTGCACTATACAGAGGATAATGAGACCTGCTTTGCATATGTTATTAATGATAAACTCTGACATTCTGCAAGGTTCAAAAAAACTCAGAAAGTCGCAATGAGAAGTGACTAGCGTCCCCTACCAGCAACCAGCTGAATGGCACAGTCCCTCCAGAAACACACTTCAGGAAAGCCAGAATAAGTAGAGGTACACCGAGAGGTCAGCAACAGCTGCTGTTTCTCTGATAGAAAGTAGTATTGCCTCTAGCCATAACTTACATGTGTAAGTGCTTAAATCGTTCAAGACCACAAAAATGCACATTACACCCACAGGACTTCAAAAACAATGAAGGTGGTAGGAATTTCCAGTGCGCTCAGTTAAATAGTTTTCCTTCAAGCACTGGGTGCATCTTCCTTCTTCCATCAAAAACATAACCAAGGAGGTACCTCAGCCAGCACAGATGGGTTTCACCTCTGCCCTGTTCAGCTGCTGGGAACTTAGGCATTAAGACTGAACACTGTTTTTAACCTTCCTCTAAACACAGGGGGGAGAGGCCGGTCTTTCCAGATTCATTTTTACCTATTTTAGAGAATCTTTATTAGGATGGGAAGAACCCAGTTCTGGAGGTGAAAATTCCTTTCCAATGACGAGAGACAGCAAGTGACTTGCTTTTCAGATGGACAGACCTCAATGATAAGAATGACCATTTTGCTGCTTCAGAGAGAAAGATTTGTCATATAGTTAAGAACAAGTCCAGTCACAAAAAATTGTCTGTATTCACATCTTGGATATGTAGCTTGTACCAGTTATTACACAACAGCAAAGGATCAAGCTGAGACTCTACTCCTTTCAGCATTTCCTCACATCTTTTAAGACCACAAACCAGAGAAAACAGACATTTGCAAAAAATCTACCTGTTCTGTAAGAAACGAAGGCTTGTAAGCTCCATCAGTAGATTTGTTTCCAGTGCCCCTCATTGATTTCATGTGTGAAACGGCCATCCGAAGAATTGTTAGCTTGTCAGGCTTACGAGCCAGGGCGCTGCAAGTGGGTACCATATCAGACAGTTCGGTGATATACTGTGTCATCTTATTTCTCCTGCGTCTCTCAATTTCACTATGATTCTCCCTGAACATTTAAAGAAACACCAAACCAACAGAAAAGCAGACATGATCAGTGTAAGAATTTCAAATGGAAGTAACGAATCATAACACTTTGCACTTGTTTTGCTGTTTCACCCCAGGAGAGCAAAGTGCTTTACAAAGCTAAGCACTATTATCCCTCAGTTTATAGACAGAAAATCCAGGCCACAGAAGGATAAATATTATTTGCCCATAGCTGTGAAAAGAACCCATATTTCTAGCTACTGGCTTCTGGCCTTAATCTCTTAACTAGTTTAATTTCCTTTGGTTTAAAGACAAAAAAATGAAGTAGAAAGATGTGAGGAACGGACAACTGCCAACTCCAGCCAAACTCCCAGATCTGCAAGAGCTGTAATGCATCTCACAGCTTCCAGTCTTTGCTCAAGGTGTTGGATCTGCTTATAAAAGGCTTCTTTTAGAGGAAACCTCTCACTAACAGCTGGATCAGGTCAGCAGTAAGCGTCAGTGCTGACTTACAAAAAAACCCCACTCAATGACAACACAGATCTCCAGTCCTATAATGCTGCGTAGAACGTTCTGCATCCCTGTAGGGAGACACTACATGCCTACAGGATCAGACTGCAGGACTGGGACCATATATGGTATAACAGTACATACAAAAAAACCCCCAGTAAATAAAAAAAATGGCTACGTAAGACAGCAAGTAAACATCTAGCTTGTCAGACATAGATCAGAATTTATGTTTGAGAACAATCTAGTACAGCAGGGAAATAGCAATGACAGTACTTGATGCTGCCCCACTTTGGGCTGAGCTCCGAGCTCCAACGTTCTCATCCTTTATAGCAAACATATGACTGAGGAGGTGAGTCAAATTTGAGAATTCTCAAAATGGACTGTCACCAAAAACTTTCAGAACTGAAGACCTGGGAGTTCAGTTTTCCCATACTGTAAATCACCAGTGCTTGATCACTATTAAGGAATTACACCAATATATACATCTGAGATGGTCCAAATGGACCTAGAATACTTCAGTGCTTAGCACTTATTTTTCTCATACTGTACCTGTCAGGTGGCAGCTAAATACAAGTACACGACAGGTACATGATGCTTCAGATGTCAAAACAGCATCTTCCACTGATTTCAATGAGCTGTGCATGGCATTTTCTTGTGGGATCGCTGGCTGATCCAACAAGGTGTGAAAGGTGATCGCTTGGAGAGTCCACCAGCATCGACCGGTACGATAACACAACATTAAAAGGAACCGCAACATTCTTTGGAGCTGACTGTTATGTAGACTAATCATGAAAGTAGAAGCTAGGGTTTGACACACTTTTTGGCTACTTTTAATAATGGAGCCTTTTCTTAAAACGCAGGAAAGAATCCAAATCGTAGTAAGCCGCTTCCTGAAACAGAGGAATGCATGGGCTTGCCCTGCTTTACAATGTGTTTCCTGCCCCTGCACATATATGTATTATACGCATGAGGCATTGTCTCCAGAAATACCACTTGTTAGGGCTACATGCAGAGTTGTTATTCCTACTGATGAATATGTTTACTGTCTGATATTCAGGAAATGCAGCTATGGGTCCCTGCAATGATAGCCCCTGGTCCCTTGGTTAAGGTCATCGAATCACAGACTCATAGAATAGTTTGGGTTGGAAGGGACCTCTAAAGGCCATCTAGTCCAACCCCCCTGCCGTGGGCAGGGACATCTTCAACTAGATCAGGTTGCTCAGAGCCCCGTCCAACATGACCTTGAATGTTTCCAGGGATGGGGCATCCACCACCTCTCTGGGCAATCTGTTCCAGTGCTGCACCACTCTCATCATAAAAAATTTCTTCCTTATATCTAGTCTCAATCTACCCTCTTTTAGTTTAAAACCATTACCCCTTGTCCTGTCGCAACAGGCCCCGCTAAAAAGTTTGTCCCCAACTGGTTACTATATACTTAACCATCTATTACACCATAATAGTGAACCTTTCCATTTCAAATGGCTGATAACAGCCTTCGTGTGGGTCTGCACAGAGGTAGGAGAGAACAGTGCCTGTGGGAGTTGGATCGTATACACATACACAAACAGAACAGCTTGTGTGACAGTGCACATGTACATCAGATCACATATGTGTACATGTCAGCATATACATGCAGATAAATATGGACAAGGAGAAGAAAAATGCATTTTTACATTATGAAATCTTGCTCCAAGTTCAGCATTTTCACAGAAACGGTGATCAAGAGAGAGAAAGACAAAGAACACAAATATTCAACACATATTTTACATTCATAAATACATATTCCATTGTCTGCCACTAAAGTATTTTAATACTCCTGAACATTAAAAAAAAACCATTATAAAGAGTACAAAGAGATTGCAAAACTTCCTGAGAAGAGAGAGATGATCATAAAAGCTAAAAAGTAATAGTATGTTAATCAACTGGCCATGAAAACGTTCAAGCAAACAAAAACCTGAAAGTTTCCTGAAACTAGTTCAAATTTAAATCCTGAAAACAAAAAGAGGGGCTGTGCTCCTCTTCCAAAAAGTGTCTGCCCTAGGAACCCTGGCATTCACAAACATGTATACAAAATGATGTCCTAATTCTATCATTTCTAACTTTGTTTTTACATGGAAATTTTGGAGGGACGTTAAACTTTGGGAGACTGCGGGAGCTGATCAAACCCACTTAGGTCCAGGGTTAGTATTTCTGATTTCAAGCATTTTTGGATCAGCCAACCCTCCTGACTTTTGATAAGTCAGAATGGCACCCTATAAAATAAAAATGGGGGCAAACCATATTTGATTTTCCTTTTTCCTACCTGGCCATCCTTTCTGTGTCAGCAGTATTTTGATCATTGTCCCATCTAGAAACAAAATAACCACCCCTCTAAGCTAAGGCACACGTACTGAGATTTTTCGGACACGACCATCCCCCTCTTTTCTCTCAGCAGAAGAGCTCTACAGAACACGCCTACCTTGCAAACTTTTCCTTATCACCAGAGATTTGATCACCATCATACCTAGAAACAAAAGATAGTAAGTAAATTCACAAGGGTTGTGCATCGCATGATAGTCAACACGCAGCAGAAAGCAAAGAGGTTCACAACTGCAAACTATTACAAATAACAGCAAGAAAAACGAGGGCATGAGAACGATAAAGCAAAGAAAACGTAGAGTCTGACGAAACTTCCAAGCCATGCCGATTCAAAAGCTTCATTTGTATATTTTAAAAAGTTGGAGACACATTTCAGTGGATTTATGCAAACACTTTGACATACGCTCATTCCTTGGGAAACTTAACAACCAGCACCGTTACAGAAAACATCACTGAGCTATTATCGACAGCAGCCCATGAAATATTCATTGCTGTGTTGGAAGTGAAAGAGCTGTATCTTTTCCAGATTGCAACCACAACTCACTCCATTCAGCAGAGGGCACTGATGGTCTACAGATAACATGGGAGGGCAGAGACACACGCTTAAGTGCAGTGCATTATATAAGGACGCCTTCAGAAAAAAGCTCTAGTAGGTACAGACGCTGTACTGTCTGTTGGGAAGACTGGCAGAAGTCAGTCAGGCAGATGAAAAACAGGAGTGAAATTAAAACTGGCTTAAATCCCTAGAAGTAAACAGGTACCTCATTCCTACTCGAATCAACAGAAGTTAAGATGCCCACACAGGTACGTGCAGCAACTTTATGGAGGAAATCCTGATCAATGGGACTTTTGCCCCACAGGATTAAAGCTTCACTGTTTCTGAAGCGTTGTCCCAGAGACAGGCAGCAACGCGACGTTTTACTAAAAAATGACATGCTGCTCCTCCTTTTCCTTTCCCTTTCCTAAAAACACGCTAATCCTTTGAAATTAGATTTTGCTAGAATAGTTACAAAAAGACACATTTTTTGAAAAAGATCTTACTTTTGGAGAAACCAAAATGCTTGTTCCAAAACAGAAAATGTAGTTTTTCAAAAATCCAAAAATAAGGCTAATGGCTTTTCTGGAATTGAAGATTATTACTGCTCAAGACTAGTCAAGTGATATTTTGTATTAGAATTAGCTTTTCCAAAATTATGTCATTTATTACAACAGAGCCTATGAAGCTATGAAACTTCTATGTATTTGCTAAGAAGTTAATACAGCATAATTAAGCATCTTTTTTCTTCTAAAAAACTAATAATTAACTTTTTCCTTTTTTTCTTTCTCAAACAAATTAAAACTAATTTTAAGTACCCCAACCGTGCAAGTTCCTCTATGAGGCTTCATATTTTCCTTCCCAGTAAGACTCATTCAAACTCTGAAGAGAAAGCTTAAGTGAGACTTGAGCTGTATTTCTTTCTACGTTGCGTTTAACACCAGCACCCTTAAAACATTCAAGTGAAAATGCCACTTTCTTCCACTTGACTCTGCCCAGAGAACAGACTGAGCCCAAAAAATTTCAAACAAAAAGACAGATTCAGTGAGGAATGGCAACATGCCGTTACGTGAGAAGTACATGCATACGCCTCCATGTGACGATGAGATGCCATGCAGAGATACCTGAGCTGGCTTGGAAGTCCCTGAGAAGCAAGGTGTATTAACTCACGTGGAGTACCATACTAACACCACTATCTCCTGTGCTCTCACTAGCTTGGGGCTTCTCTGCTCATCCTTGTCTGGCTGGCAGGGCTGAAGATGTTATTGCCTCCAACTGCTGTTTTCTCCCTTCCAGTCTCCCAGCTGACCTCTGTGTGCACGCTTCTTCAGGCACTTCAGTCAAAGCCAGCTGGGTTAGCTTAAACATTTAAACAGCAGTTCTTTGCTAACCAAATAATTTTGACCGAGCCAAGCTAGGAATCAGTCACGTGAGCAATTTGGAAAAGGGAAAAGTCCTAAAGGAGGGCACAACTAAAAGAGGATGTCTGAATGTGGCGCTGGGCATCTCTGCACTGTTTTTCTGTACTCTCTAAAAGCAGAACAACCTGGGGTTTTTACAGCATTTAAGATTTAAGTATCAGATTTTGATCTGACATCTAAAATCAACTGAGTCTAAGCACAGCACAGCATACCTCTTCAATAAAAATAATGGAACTGTTGGCTCTCCCCACCATCAAACTTCGAAAGGCTGAAGCTAGGATGGAGACAGACCAACGCACGTGCACCACTGTGCCTAGAAACCCTGACACTTAGCAGGCACAAATCAGATCACATTCATCACAAATCTTGTTCCCTTAACATGTATCTTCCAGCAAACATTAGGACTAGCCCTCAGATCACCAGTTTTAACACCAGAGACTGGAATATCCTTTCTGTAAATGACATCAGCTGAACAGGGGTGCTGCTGGTCTTGTCCAGTAGGTTACGGTATGGTGTTACAGCACATCTTCAGCATACTTATCTTTCAGACTGACTAGGAAGATCTTGTTAAAACCCTACGGCGACAGCTGTGTTTGAACGTGGCTGCTGCTATAGAGCTGCAGTTACAATTTGGATAATCAACAGTTATCTGTAGGCCTCAAAGTATCTACCCGTCACTGCAGCTGCTTGGTTTCTAATGAAAAAACGCAAACAGTGTGACCAGAAAAAAAGGAAAAGTGAAAAAATGGCAATGATGCTTTAATGTTTGTTTTTATTTCTAGCCTAGAATATTCCATGTTGATTAACATTTATTTTGGCAATTTTTACTATTCAGTCACACCTAATGGTATATAATGAGCTTTAATCTTAAAAAAACAATCCACACCTCTAGGATCTGTCATATTGCCTTAACAAGCAGTTAACATCTGAAATAAATTCAAAATAAAATTCATTTTCAGTGGCAGAAAGACAACTTCAGCAATGTCAAATAACCAAAGTTCATCTACAGCAGTTGAAATAAGAAGCTAAAATCACAAGTTTTCTCATTTGACATAGCTGCAGAGTGAAATTATGACACACACGCTGTCAGCTTTGTAAGCCAATAACTACATTAGGCAGATTTCTGCCAGGATGCCTAATTTGCAGAGGAAGCCGATAAAAACAGTAACTAGAATTTAGGTCAAGTTGTTGGCAAGTTCTTCAGCCAGTATTCATGTTGACTTTAAAACATCAGTAGTGAGACAGCTGTCTTTCTCCACTGAAAGAAGTCAGCGATTTGGCCGACTCTTTGTAAATGCTCACCTTGAAAATTTGCTGGGCCCCTCCCCGTCTTCATCATCGAAGTCCATTCTGTAAGAGGAAGATTTCCAAATCAGTAATCATGATGCTGGCAATGGTGACTTGAACATTCAAGCCAGCGGTTCTCAACCTTGTTTGATTTATATTTTGACTGGAGGTGTTAACGACTGTAGATTCCAGTCTTGCTCATATTCTCCAGACCCCCTAGAAGTAGGAGAATGCTGCCAGGAATACAAAGAATACAAGTTTTTAAAAAAATAAAGTAATAAATCACTGTTCTGCTCCACAGAAATCTGCACTATTAAAATTAACAAATAAAAGGAAACATTAAACAAATGCTGTTCTTGCGAGATGGTCAGAAGTAGTATCCCTTAGGCCTGATAGAAGTTTACAGGTATCAGCAGGGACTCTGTATTAGAGGACTGAAATTAAGGCTAAAGAATATAAAGTTCTAAAGCTGTACACATAATAAACACCAGGCTGCTATTTTTGCCCCAGTCTAAAGAAAGCACATTAGAGGTAGGGCAGAATAAACTCCCAGTCTCACTGCTAAGAGGATTATCTACGTCACCGCTATTGATTGTAACTGTGGTACATTCTTTAGACTTGCCCTATATTACCAACTATTTCACACAAACTACCAACCAGTCCGCTGATGGTAACTGTGGTATTCCTGTGGTCATTACTAAAATTACCTATGGGTCTACCGTGCACCTAACTTACCTGGTTTATGTTCCAGACTTCCTTCTTAAGCCAGCAGAAGAGACGAGCTCTTCCTTGGGCCAAATCCCAGCCCTCCAGCTAGGCTCCTCCAGGGAGCCACAAAAAGCAGGAACCTCTTTCTTCACTTCTTACACAGAGAGACTAGGAAGATTAACTTCCTAAATAAGCCACTTAAATTAGTTTCCTATGTTAGGCAGTGTGATTGTCTCCTTCCCATTGATATTAAGTCACTATAAAGTTATGCAATAGTGTAGTTTCCAAAGCGTTTTATACATTTCTATACCTTTAAAAAGAGGTGGACAAATATATATCCCAATTATAAGGGGGTGACTCTGCCGTTAAGGCAGACTAAGAACCAAGCTGATATACAATTATCATATACAATTATTGTATTAGTGTAATTATTTTTATAAGATAATACGTTAGTATGATATACAGACCTTGATCAGTCACTTAAATGTAATTTGTGTAGACAGGAAATCATAGGTTTGTTTTGCAAACAATTTTGTCAGGTTTCTTTAACACTCTAAGCTTTCTAACATTTCAGTGTAACAAAACTTCATACAATTACAGATTCCATGTCTTTAACACTCTTCATATTAACAACAGATCTAAGTCATATTAAAGGCAAAAAGCCTGCAAAGTGACGATAATATTTACCTCAGTATTAGAAGAAACCCCCACCAATTAAAAATTAAGATTTGCATGTTCAGAGTGTGGGAACAATGATGTAAAAATGCTCTTTAAAACTACATCAGCATAGAGAAGTATGAGTGCCAGTCAGGCAATACTGCCTTGCTTCCTAACTTTGATAACCAAGACAGGCTGGTCTCTAAAAGATGTGTCTGAGTCACAGCAATCTACATACAATCAGGACAAGGGCAGCAAATAAGCACAGGAATTGGAAACGGTATTAGAAAAGTCACAATAGTATTTTCCAGATGGCAACAGTGATTATTCATTTCTGGAGGAAGCAGAGGGAAAACCATTGTCCCCAGAAAAGATGTGTATTTAATTTGGTTAAGTTTGATGCAATCACCATTTTCACTATAAATTACGTTTTTGCTCACCTAATTACCACCCAGTCCGTTTCAAAGTCAGCGACCTCTCCGCTGCCTTGCGCAGAACAACACCGACCTCCAGCGGCCAGCGCCCTCGCTCGTGCCACGCACTGCTACCTGTCACCCCAAATGTGGCCTTCGGCACTGGCACCAGCAGCCTGAATTTCCCCAGACCGGCTGCATATGCAATACTCCCAGCAATTTAACATTTACGCATTAACATCTAGCTGAAGGTCTCCTCTTACCTACCTGCTTCTTCCCCACATATAACGTGCCTGTAGGTGACATCCCAGAACGAACTTCCAAGTTATTTCAATTGCAATGTTTTTACTTACACCGAAAATGTGAAAGTCAAAGTTACAGGAGAGCTGTTTGTTTACAGGCAGAGGGCACGCTCAGGCCAGCACTGGGCCGGCTCCACCTGAAACCACCCACAAAAGCGCAACGTCAGGCATATCCTTCACTGGTTTCACTGGCAACTGAAACACAACTGAGAGAAACCTCCAGTTTCAAAGCTGGGAGATAAGGGCAGCAGAAAATACATACGCCTACCGTGGGGAAAAGCCTCTTCAAGGATTTAGTAAGACATTGCTTTAATTTGGGACGGATTAATTTTGTAATTCCTTTTCTTCTTCTCCGATACACTGAGATCCCATGCTTTGGTAGATTTGCTTAGCTTCCAGCCAAATACTCCAGCTGAGTGCTAAGAGATGGATTTCCCCCCCAAAATCAAATATTAGCTCTACTGCGTTTAGTCTAGTTTATTATTACTGGAATATAATGCAGAGAATTACAGAGAACCTGATGACAGTTTAAGGCTTGATCCTGCTGCCTGCGCTGTACACCTACTTCCAAAGGAATAAGCGGGACTAGCACACCTACTTATCTAGATGGCTGGATATCAGCTTCTCATCTTAAAAAATCTTGATGGGTTAATATACATAGGTAATACCTACCACACTTATAGTGGGCTCTTCCTGGCAGAATCTGAGTGCCTAGGGTGCAATACCAGACTGTAGCAGACTAAATCTTTAAATAATCCCTTTGCTTTGTTAAACTACCTAAAAACCTTGACTTTATTCCAAATGCAAGATTATAAAAAAATAAGAAATTGAACATTTAATTAAAAATGTCAATACTTGTAAAAATGCAACAGCAAGTGTATCTCTGTCCCATCTTTGTTAATAAACACCTTTCCTAATTTCACATTTCACTGTGCAAAATGAAAAAACCCTTTCAAAACCTGAAAAAAAATCTCAGGTACAAAGTCATTGATTCCAACGTCCTGCGTGAACCACTGTGTCTGCTTTGCAGCAAGGCAGAGTGGAAGACAGGGAATCAGTTGTAACCTTTAGCAGAATACAGCAGAACACAGCAAAATAATATTCCAACAAACTCCTCATACCATGACAGATAAGATCTTCTGTTCAGATACAATATATTGCACATTAGCAAAACAGTAGAAGCAGCCTCAAGAAGACAAATGACATCATTTCAGAAGTTTCAGAAAGAGTATCTCTTATCTTCATTTAAAATCCCCATTAAAAAAGAGACTTTAAAAAAGAGCTGCACTATGCTTTTTTGTTTTGAAGAAACAGCATAAATCTTGTTTTCCTCTTTCATACTGTTCATGTCAATCGTGAAAGGGCCTGATGTATGAGGTACTTATTAGAATATATTTTCCTCAAAGAATGTGTGGGTACCAAAAATATTTTTTTAAAATTATTTATTTTTAATTAGAAACATTTTCACACAAAAACCCCACTCCAGCCCTTGTTTAACCTGTGTGGTCCTGCACAGGTTAAAAAATTGAGATGGGAGAGGATTTGAACATGGCAACAAAATGATTATGTAAAATTCCCAAGAAATGTCAAAAGATGGCTTGCCATGATTATACAGCGTAGGAAGGGGGCAGGCAGGGATGATCAGGAGCAGATGCAGCTGAGAGGCAGATGGGGATCTGCATTACAGCCCTTTGTTCAGTGCAATATAGGGGGTACACCCGGGGAGGAAGGCTGGTGGGCTGTGGTCTCTTCCTCCCCATATCTTACAGTTCTGGGTCAGAGAAAAGACAAGACCATAGGCTGAACTGAAACGAAACCATTGCATCAGTAAACCAACCAAAAAAACCCCCACCAACCCTCCCTCTCCAAGTACAGATTACCTAGGAATGTAAAAAAGCCCCATATCCTCTAATACAGCAAAGCCTAAAGAAAAACCACGTTAAATAAAGAATTGACCTTACATTTATCTAAGGTAGTCACTGACCACTGCAATGCATTATCTTATGCACTACTAGGCTGTCACTTTTTTCTATAAAGTACTTGGTATAATTTATAGAAAGGAAAAATATTTTTCCGAGCTGTCAATGAAGCTGAATGCCTACACGGCAGAAACACCTTCTGGATAGCCAATGAGTTTAAACTGATCTACATTCAAGTCCATACAGCAATTTTTCTGCCAGCTTGCCTCAGCAATTACGGGAAAAGAAACAATTTTCAGAGATAACCGAAGCTGGAAAAGATGACTGTGTTCACTGGCTACATTCCTTTATGTTTGACACAAAGCATTCATTTCTAAATGCCCAAGGATTTAGGTGTACAAAGATGTATCACCAGGTCAGTAATGAAAGGACCAAGTGTTAGCTGCAACTTTGTTCAAAGAGAAGCTAGGAGGAATCAGACACAGCAGGCATTCTTTCCCTCAAGGTCTGAATACATACATGCTGAACGAAAACAAACAAAACAAAAAAGCACCCTCAGCTCAGGCTCGGAGAAGGGCTATTAGTTCAGAGCTGTGGTGCACAGATAAAATACCACCGTCTGGGTATAACAGCAAATCTATACTAACATACTCACTGAATTTGCACGTTAAATACATTTAAAATAATTTGATTTTATGTTCCTCCCACCCTCCCCCCACTCCACTTTATTGCAAATAGATGATGATACTTAAAATGCAACAGTTAAAGCATAGCTTTCAATTAATATCAAGTCAGTATTTAATATAATGAGAAGATTTCACAGCAGCATCAACCCTTGGTAACAGTAATTTGCAAACTGGTATTCGCAGTTGACATGGTTTATGATTAAAAAAAAGAGATCAACTATCCTGCAACTCAAAAGTACAAAAGCTTATATACGTTACGTAGCAATGAGAAGATGTTAATGCTTTGTTTTCTCTTTTGAATGCAAGTTTGAAAAGGCTTTTTCATTGAACAGTTTCCAAATAAAAATGTGATGCCTGTCAAAGACAGATTTCAGGAGTTTCTCAGACCAATTTCATATGCTTCATAGCTCAGCGTATGAAGCACACTCAGTGGGGGTAAATCTCCAAACTGTCTTGTCTGAAGGAACCCCCCTCAGAACAACCATCCTGAGTGTTCACATCACACCAACTTAGTTCCGTGTCCAAGGCGAGGTCCACCTTCTCCCTTCTTAATTCACTCCAGGATTGAGACTCCAGCACTGTTACTTGAGCAGACTACCTAAAACTGGCAACATACCTTGGGAAACAATCCCTAGAGTAGCTCTCACAAGGAATAATGTCTTCTCCTCAGGTGTCCATCAGTGAAGATTTTACTCACACTATCAATCCTGTTAAGCCCTACCAATGTCGTATTTAGGGCTAAATATAAGACTAATCAAACTCTTCTGCAGGCAATCTCAGATCAGAGATATCTCTGAGAAAGGATCATCTAAAGATCGTTATTTGTGATCAACCTTTGATAAAAACAGGTATTTTTTGTTAATACTAGAGAGCAGTTTTCTGCCCTTCTGTGGCTCTTGCTACACTTTTCTTCTAACACAGAGGATTATTATGAGTTGCCGCAGAATAATCTGATGTGGAGAAACTATCCCTACACCACACCAACCTCTACAGTTGGATAAAACAAATTTTCTTCTTTAGCAGAGCCCTCAGCTAGTGCAAGGGCTGGACTTGCTTCAGGCCCTTTCTCACAGAATTGGAGAAACTACGCTGCATTTCCAACAAGACCTAGAATATTGTAGACCACAATCTCTGAAGAGTGACTGCTTGTGCTGTTTCTGTACCTGGGACTATAAAGAAAACATTTTTAACAGAAGGCCTCTATTTGAGAGATTCCAAGTCCAAACTTCAGATGAACTTGGATAAGTCTGCCTGTGCAAGTAAGAACACATCTTGCTACCTTTATTCACATGATAAATCCTTTTGAGATTAAACAGATGTAGGCAACAGGCATTCATTACATGTACAACAGCCATGGGGTCCAAACTCTGTTTCTGGATGCTCTGCCAAGCCTGAAAGTCTTTTGAAGCATGCAAAACAACAAACGATACACTTATCAGCAAGCTTCATCTTGCAGGAAGAGCAGATACATTGAAGAGGAAAACAAAACATCAGTGACTAATGCCATAATGTAGTTTACATACATACACATTACATAATAAACATACGCATATAGGTACATTTTCAGTTTTTCAATACCAGTCGTTTCCAGTTTCAGACCTGAAAAAAAAGAAATGGCTTACCCAGAGCGGCGCTTTCCTCCTCTGGAAGGCATGGATCCTGCCATTCTCACTTGTCCACTTGCCATTGGTGCCACGGGCAAGGCCACCGAGCCAGGAATATCTGATGCCATTTCTGTAACGCAGAGGTAGGAAAGAGGAGGGGGAAAAAAAAACATCCTTTAATCCATTACCTTCAAGGAGAAACCTGTGATGACAACATTAGAGAAAGGCCCTTTCAAAAATAAGCAGAGAAAGCTTTCCTTTTTATTTCTAAGGAAAAGTAAAGCTCTTCTATCAAAGACCAGCAGGTTCACAGCTCGCTGAAAAGAAGCCCAGTTCTGTCAATAGCCCTTACAAGTGTCTCAAGAAACGGAGAGAACTGCATACAGGTACATCTGTATTTCAATTTACCTAATGGTTCTAATTTTACTTTTCAGAGGGGCTGTCAGAAGAAGGCCAACAACCTTTTACAATAGTTAAACTGCCCTGTAGAGAAATGCAGAGCTGAATTCCCAAGACAAATGAAGCTGTGGATCATGGTACCAGGGTACCAAGAAAAATAAAACTTCAAAAATTTCTCAGTTTGCCAGTGAGGTCAAAAGTTTAAAGCACGGATGAATTATCAGGTGACACTGTTCTTTCTTTATATTCTGGTGGCATTCAGAGGACGAGACTGAACCAAACAGAGCTCCAAGGCTTCCTGTATGCCTGTGCGGTGCCTTGCAGAGCAGAACCAAGCCCAAAATCCAGGCTGATATTCATCTCTCTGCCAGTGCTCAGGTGTGCTGGTTTTGGCTGGGACAGAGTTAATTTTTGTCATAGAAGCTAGTATGGGGCTGTGTTTGGGATTTGTGCTGGAAACAGTGTGGATAACCCAGGGATGTTTCCATTACTGCTGAGCAGTGCTGACACAGAGTCAAGGCCTTTTCTGCCTCTCACCCCACCCCACCAGCGAGCAGGCTGGGGGGGCACAAGAGGTTGGGAGGGGACACAGCCAGGACAGCTGACCCCAACTGACCCAAGGGATATCCCACACCATATGACGTCATGCTCAGCATATAAACCAGGGGGAAGAAGAAGGAAGGGGGGGGGTGTTCAGAGTGATGGTGGTGTTATTCCCAAGTCACCGTTACGCGTGATGGAGCCCTGCTTTCCTGGGGATGGCTGAACACCTGCCTGCCCATGGGATGCAGTGAAGGAATCCCTTGGTTTGCTTTGCTTGTGCGTGCGGCTTTTGCTTTACCTATTAAACTGTCTTTATCTCAACCCACGAGTTTTCTCACTTTTACCCTTCCGATTCTCTCCCCCATCCCACTGGGGCGGGGCAGGGAGGGGGTGAGCGAGCGGCTGCGTGGGGCTTAGTTGTCGGCTGGGGTTAAACCACGAGATCTGGGTATAGCCACAGGTTAATGAGATTGTCAAAGCTCAAATCTTTGATCTGAGGAACAGCAAGAGCACACCTTACGCAACGGTTTTCAGACCACCAATGGCATGTACTTTTACAACCTATTAATAACAGTTCATTACACTTCAAAAAAGAAAAGTGGAATATAATGTATTTATATCCTTTTCTCCTATCCCACGGATTAAACACATTTTGCCTCTGTGCAACTCTTGTAAACTATGTAAGCAATTAAAACTTTTTTAATGCAGATATACTTTACTCACTCCGGAGGTAAAATCTACAGTCACAACATTTAATTATCTTGAAAGAAAATGCATCATCCTTCCAACTTTTTTTTTTAAACTTGGCTGAGTATCTGGAGCTACAGATAAATATATTGACTAATGGAAAGCAAATCTGTTAAAAAATCCTGTTATTTTTTTTCCCAACAGATATGTACAAAAGAACTTCAATTATGGAAACAGGAATCCATGTTCTTTCATTATGTCTGGAGAGCACCTCATCTCTGCCACACTTTACATAAATCCATTATGCAACATAATGCATTTCAAACAATAACATTTTATCTGTTCACTGATTTCATGAATTTTTTCTAGTACATTTACTTTTATTAACTCCTTTCAACTAAAAAGCCACAGAGCAAAGTACTCATCCAATATTTTTCAACAAAGTGTGCAAGGACAAACAATGAGTCCTCTGCCTACAACACCACACCACGGAAAGTCCCGCTGTGTCTAAAGATGCTGCTATGTGGAAACACTACATTAATGTACATTAGCATATTTCCATACAAATAAAAGCATGAGCATCCCAACAACTGGTTAATCACTATTTCCAGAATAAGTACGCTTAGTGGTCTAATGCCAATAATTCACTTGGAACATTCAAACTCACATTTCATGGATGGAACTGAAGGTCATTTCAAAATGCTCTGCTCACTCATTTCTTAAAGCAGATGGTAAAAACCATAATAAATCTACCTGCAAAGTGTCCCTGTCACTCAGAAACACATTTCAGTACAGATCATCAAGGATATCAGATTTTTTTAAATTAGTAATTGTAAAACAATTTCCTATCAGCTCTGGGCAGTATTTTGAGAGAGTAAAAGCAGTACCGTATTTGTAATTGTGATGAGAAATTCTTATACCCTCATTTTCCTCCATCTAAGACAAAGAGGATGAAAAACCAAGCCAACGGTTGGACTCATCTACTCTTAAAAGTCTAAAAGTCAAAGCTAATTATTTCAGGTAACTTTATAGATCACTAAAAGGGAAAGGAAGCATCATCCTTGCACTACTACGCATCCCATGCTTAGAGGTGCATCCAAAATAGGTTGAGTAAACCTCTCTGTAGCTCCCTTGCTCTTGCCAATGACTACTCAGGGAGACAGTTTGGATCAGATGTCCAATTTAGGTGGTTGGGGCTAGGCAGAATGAGTTGTTTTTCTGCTCTTCTGTTCAGCCTTTAATGTATGAAGACATGAGAGGCAAGGGTAGTTAGCAAATTTCAAGTAGTAAGGAAAACCAGAAACTGCGTATTTTTCATAAGAAAAAAACCAAAGGCTAGAGGAATGACCAAACCACAGGCTCAGTTATATCAATGTCCAAAAACACCTGAAAGAAAACATTCTGCAGAAAATAGATGATCTTTCTATCAAGGTATAAGCTGAAGAATTACTGTGTAGGTATCTTGAATCTCTAGAATGGCACATCAAAAACAGCGCAGTGAAGAAAGTAACTTCTTACACAAAATAGCCTTCAACTGTGTCTTCATAGTCCTTTGAGAATGAAACCAAGCTCATTGAGCTGACTGCTGTAAAAGGACATCTTCAAAAATTTCCATTTCCAAGATATAAGCACAAGAAGAAAAAAAAAAATCAGGGGATCCACACACATTAATCCACATGAAAGCTCAACTAAGAGGGAAGGCTTTCCATTATGCAAAAGCCTGAAGGTGTGACAGACCTGCACATACATCAATGCATAAGACACCCAATTTACCTTTCCAGTTTAGAGTTTCCCACGTCAAAGAGACACCAACCATTGTGTGACCTATTGCAGCTTTCATAAGGCCCTCGAGGGTGGACATACACTGCTAACAAAAGCAGTCAGCTTTCCAAGATGTCTTTCCTGCCACAACAGATTTATTCTGAGTTCTGTAGATGGAGAAACCGGGAGGGTTGGGTCTCTTTCAAGCCACATAGCAAATACAGCAAAGAAAGCAACTCCAAGGGCAACAACACCATGGAGCATGTGTTGCTGACTCATACCTGGCCTGCCTCTGGCAAGAGCAGCCAGAGCAGCAGTGAAGGACCTCATACACAGTCTCGGTGTACAAACAGTGACACCAAAGCACTACAGGGAGACTTCAGGGACAGAGCTGACAAAGTGACCCTGTTGCTCAGCTGCAGCCAATTGGGTGTTGGAAGCTGCATTGAAGTTGGATGGTTGCTCAGAAATATAACCACTAGATTGTGGTTATACTCTACTCACAAACAGAGCAGCTCCCTGCTGCAGGCTGCCAAGAACTTCTGGGGACACCATGGAATGGATCTCAGCTGCTCCACAAATTATTTCCATCTCTACTCATCCACAAGCATCTAAAAGGACCAGATCTTTGATAATATTTTTACAAGGGTTTTATAGATGCAACGGGGAAAAAAATGGGCTGGTCAGAAAAGTAGAAACATGTTACCTCAGAAAACAAAGGGCCAATCTGGGAAGGCAGAGCCAGAAGAAAAATCTGATGGAACAGTCAGCTGCTTCTCTGACTGAGCACCAGAGAAGCTACCTGTCTGTGCATGCTCCAGGAAGAAAGAAAGAGAGACAATGGGAAAATAAAAATACCCAGACTGAAATCTCAGCTAGATATGTTGTGGTAGATAGGTACTCCAGGGAGCCTATTACCATAAAAAAAGGGGTGTGCATCGGACACAAACCTAAAGAAAAAAAAATAATCAGAAGGGTAACCTGCAATTGTCTGAAGTTACATCAACATAAATTTAGGTCAGCCCACTGAAAGTAAATTATGCTGTTCTTTTGTAGCATAAACCAGTATGAAAGCTCAGCACTGTAGAAGCAGGTGTCAAGGTGGTTATATATATTAAAAAAGAAAAAGGACAGAATCATAGAATCATTTCAGTTGGAAAAGACCTTTAAGATCATCAAGTCCAACCATTAACCTAGCACTGCCAAGTCCACCACTAAACCATGTCCTCCAGCACCACATCTACACGTCTTTTAAATACCTCCAGGGATGGTGACTCAACCACTTCCCTGGCCAGCCTCTTCCAATGCTTGACAACCGTTTCGGTGAAGAAATTTTTCCCAATATCCAATCTAAACCTCCCCTGGTGCAACTTGAGGCCATTTCCTCTTGTCCTATCGCTTGTTACTTGGGGGAAGAGACCAACACCTACCCCGCTACAACCTCCTTTCAGGGAGTTGTAGAGAGTGATAAGGTCTCCCCTGAGTCTCATTTCCTCCAGGCTAAACAACCCCAGTTCCCTCAGCCGCTCCTCATGGGACTTGTGCTCTAGACACTTCACCAGCCTTGTTGACTCATGCTGGTCAACAATCATGTTTCCAGGCTCATCTACACCCACGTCCAGACAGATGTTAACACTAATGTTCACAGAAGTGTTTCAGCAGCAATGAACATTAGGAAACAAGCTGTTCTCTTTCCAAGATTGGACCTTCTGAGAGTGGACTTTCCTTCTGCCAACAGAAATAGGACAAGCGTTGCTTACTTTACGCAAAATTAAAACACAAGAATATGGGTACAATATTCAGAAAGTAAACAAGGTCAGGCTGAATGTTCATGAAAATCATCTATAACCATCAAGGCAGTGTTCTGAAAAAAAATTATTTAAATGAAGTTCCTTAGTGTCAAACAGAAATCACTCTTCTGCTGAAAAATTACACGCAGTATTCCATTTCAAAGTTAGAAAGTTACCTAGAGATCTGCCAAAGAACACACAAATGCTATTAAAACAAAACCCAGCATAACACTCACAATCTTTAGTGGATATTCTTCCAATTAGATGACACATAACAGCTCTTGTTGTATCACTGTCATGCCTGGGCACAGGCCTGATCCTGCCACTAATACTCATGCTCATCTTGGGGATCCCTGAGGAGCCACACTAATCCAGGGATAGTGTCAGTGCTCAATATAAAAGCAGCAGAATTAGTCCCTCCATTTCTGTCCAGAATTAATTTCACTGCTGAACACTCTAAGCTCGGATATTACACTTTCCTCCAGCGTTGCATGTAGGTCACTCCCAAAATATTCAGGGAACTTTTTGAAATAAAAGACAATCTGCAAATGTACATCAAAAATACAGGGATAAAATACAGGGATTTATTCCCAATAAATTTCATGTTCATCTCAAACTTTGTTATAGAGATCTGTACAGAAAACAGCTACTGTGCACTTCATAAAATGTGAAAAGCAAGCTAAATGCTGCACAAGGATACCTTGAAAGCGCA